GGGGCGGGGCGGGGCGGGGCTCCAGGCAGAAAGAACAGCGCGGGCGGGCCCTGTGGGCTGCTTCGCAGACGGAGCCATGTGGCAAGCGGGTTTACAGGAGGAAAAGCGTGCGGGTGTTAGCGCCGGGAAGAACGCGTTTGCACGTTGAGTGAAAGAGTCTTCAGAAACCACGTTATCAAGAAGGGAGTGTGGGTGCGGGGGTACCCTGGGAGGCTGGTGCGCGGCGGGCGGGCGGCGAGGGCACGGGGTCCCGGGGGCCGGGCTTAGCCCCAGCGGGAGCGAGGAGCGCAGGCCGCCACGCTCGGCCTCGGCGCTTGCCTTGGCGCACGGCCAGCGTGGCTGTCTGCGTTACCTCCGGCGTTCCAAGGCCCTGTCAGAGCTGTGCGTCAGCCGCCTCCGGGGCTGCCCGGCGGGAGGGCCGGGCTGCTGGGAAACGTGCTCACCTGAGCCGCGGGCTCGAGACCCAGCGGGCCACCGGCCGTCAGGACAGCTGGGCCGGCTCCTGAGCTCTGCCTCTCAGCAGTCGCTTTTGGACCGTTTTTCAAATACGTGGCAAGGCACACATTCTGGAAAGATGCTAGCTGGCTGCAGCCTCACTGCAGGCGTTTGGAAAGCAAGTTAGTGAAGGGCCGAGCTCAGCTAAGCCACTCGGTGCTGGCAGCTCCCCCCAGCGCCTTGCCTGTTTCCACCTGTCCACCACGGGCTCACGCCGCGGGGCCCGGGGGCTCAGTGGGGCGCGGGGCAGCTGGCCGGTGCCCGCGCTTGAATCGGCCCAGGCCCCACAGCGCGGGGCTGCCCCCAGGCAGCTTCCGGGACCCTTCCCTTCCCTCTGTGCCCAGGTTACCACACCACGGTCTTTGGCGTCTTCAGCGACTGCTTGCTGGACAACCTCCCGGGGGTGAAGACCAGCGGCTCCACTGTGGAGGTCATCCCGGCCCTGCCCAGGCTCCAGCTCAGCACGTCTCTGCCCAGGTGGGCCGGGCTGGCTCCCAGCGCCCCTCAGCGGGTGGCGGTGCCAGGGCGGGTGGTCACGGTTCCCGTGGTCGCGTATGGGGGGGGCCCGGCCGCCCGCAGGAACACGCTTTGCTTGGCTGAACTGGGACAGACCGGAGCGTGGCGCCCAGGATTCCAACAGTGTGACAGCAGCCTTGGGGATCGCACTTCTCTAAAAGATGGTTAAGATTTCCCGGGCTGCGGGGAGACCCCGTCTTCAAAAAGATCTTTTGACGCTGTAGGAGGGCGTGAAGAAGGAAGGAGGCGCGTCCGGGCCCAGGCGCCTCCCGTCCTAGACACGCGTGTCACGCCGTCGGCCCTCCGTGCCGTCACGTGGGGCCGGGACGGCCCCTGGGCACAGCCACGCAACATGCTACAGTGCCTCTGTCTTCGTTGTGCCACAGAAGCGTGCCGTCCGGCACCCCAACATTGCATAACCCTTTCCTTGCCCTTACAGGTTGGGTTGTCTGCTCGGCAGAAGGACGCCCCCGTGGCCGTCCTTTCTGCTGTCTTAGGGCGGGCCTGAGGCCTGCAGAAGTGCTTCAGGGTGCCCACGTGTTTGTGGGCCTCTCCGGGGGTGGTGCCGCGGGGCTGGGGTGAGGCGGGGCTCCTGAGTGCCCGGAGCAGCCTTTCACGGGACCTTGAGCTTCTTATTCTCCTTCCGTGGGTCAGAGTGGCTCACTGACCTTTTCTTCTTAAATCTGTGGGTTTCCCCAAGACTGTTCTGAGCAAGAGTGTTTATTTTTTTTGAGAGACATGCTCTGAGGTCATTTGAATTAATTTTGTTCCTCTTTGGCTGCACATAACCCAGCAATTAAGTGTTTTATGCATCCTGAGACCCCCGGGCCACCATGTGTCGGATGCACTGGGCGCGGGAGGTGCCTTGGGGCTCACCCCCAGTCCCGATGGCCGCGGCTGAGAGGATGAAGGCCGACGTGCCCTGGCCTCTCTCCCTGAAGGGAACAGTGGTGGCCTCTGCCTTGACACTCTTCCAAAATGCCAGTCTTTCCCGCTTCTGTCCTTCGCTGCTGCCTTAGGTCTGCGCACGCACTGCAGCCTTCCTCGGGGGACGAAATACCCACTAACGTGTCCGTGCAGCTGTACAACGGAGAGACGCAGCAGCTTGTCATTAAGTTGGAAAATATTGGCATGGAACCTTTGGAGAAGCTGGAAGTCACCTCCAAGATTCTCACTACCAAAGGTGGGCACGCCAGGCAGCCCTGAGGAGTTTCCTAACAGAGTAACCGGCTGGCGACTCCCTCGCGTGGGCGCAGGCTGCGCTCCCCTGGGCCGCAGGGCGGCGTGCCCGCGCCTGGCTCCCTCAGCGGCGCAGCGACCGCCTGCCACACCCGTGGTTCTCCAGCGTTCTTGGAGGGCTGCTCCGGCACGCATGCAGTGTGTCGCTCCTGAGAGCGGTGGGTGGGCCCCGTCGTCCGGTGACAGCGGGGGGCCCCTCTTTTCTGTCGTCGTAGAAAAGCTGTGTGGCGACTTCCTGAGCTGGCAGCTGGAAGAGGCCCTCGCCCAGTTCCCTCTGCAGCCCGGGGAGGTGGCCACCTTCACCGTCAGCATCAAGGCGAAGCTGGACTTCTCCTGCCAGGAGGGCCTGCTGCAGGACCTCTGTGACGGTGAGCGCCCCCCAGCCTGCGGCTCGCCCCGCCGCTGCCGGCCACCCCCGGACGGCTGCCGGACGCCTCTCCCAGTGTGCTGGCCGGGCAGCCGCTCGGCCTCAGAAGGCCCATCGCGGCCCCCTTTCAGCCCAGCCACCTGCCGAGTGCGGTCGCAGTTTGGGCTTGCCGTCTCCTTGCTGCGAGGACAAGACCAGATCAAAGGGAGCTGGAATTCTGATGGCAACTCAAACTCGCTGGCGGCAGGCGGCCTCGTCCCGGGGGGGCCGGAGGCCGCACGGGGCCCGCGGTGCTGGTTTCCAGCCAGCCCTCCCGTGACGAGTCTGCCAGAGCCGGGCTGGGGGCACATCCTAGCCTTCCAGGCTCAGACAGTGGTCATCAGCAGGGCAGGGTTTTCAGCAGGCGGGGGCGACCCCTGCCCCCAGAGCCCCGGAGCCGGGGTGGTCGGGCCTCTTCTGTGGTCCGGCCGGGCGGGGCCTGCGCGCAGCCTGCACTCAGCCTGCACCTACTCCTCTGTGCCCCTGGCCTGGGGGGTGGCCAGCGCGTGACTCACCCCCGGCACATCAGAAGCCCTGAGCGGTGACCCCGCTGGTCCCGGGGTGTGTCGCAGGCATGGGCTCATGCTAACGACGGCCCCGGGGTTGGGGCCACTTTTCAGGGCACAGCCATGAGTAAGCTGCCAGCCATGCAGGGCACTGACCTCGGAGTGGGCTGCGGACAGATGCGAGGCGATTAGTATTTATTGAGCACGGAAGGTCTGGATTAGCCACTTTTGGGGTATTCATTCTATTTAATAGCCACTTTTGGGGTATTCATTCTACTTAATAGCCATTTTTGGGTATTCATTCTATTTAATATTTCCCCAACAGCTCTGTAAAGTAGATGGCTTGCAAAAATGACTCCTATCTTGTAAAGGAGGTGGGAGGACTGTTCTAGATTAAGGGAAACTGAAGGGCTGTAACAATCAGATGCCATGTGCAATCCTTAGTCATGTCCCAGGCTAAAGGAAGTCTAAAGACGTTCGGGGACAATCAACGAAATCGAATATGTAGCGAACGGTATTTGATATTATTGTGTCAGCGACAAGTTTCTTGGGTGTGACAAGGACATTGAAACAGTGGCGGGAGGTACTGCTACAGTATCTGAGGGTGACACGGTTATGCCTGCACTTGCGCACGCTTCAGGAAAACCGCGTCTGCAGTGTGACTAGAGACCTCCAACTATTGGAAACGAGCGGCTTTAGATAAAGGGCGCC